TATATATTCTGTAAGAGGGTGTGCCATTTGTTGGCAGGAGGGAAAGCCAACACTAGAGTTGGAATACTAAGCTCATGTGATGCTCAGCCATGTTCGATCGTTTCTTACACGTATTGTTTTTGCGTTTGTTTTTCTTGAAGTAACTTTCGGACTGACACAGCCTCTTGGATGCAGGTGACCTTCAACCGTGACTATCCAGTATGCAGGCTAGATTGAAGCGTCCTCCAGGATGCAGATTTTGCCGCTCAGGAAATATAGCATGTACGACGAGAAGTTTCCAATCAAGGACCCTGTCGGCATGTGGGTTTGTGCTCGACAAAAGAAGCTGGGCTTTGTAGTTGGGACCACTCATGAAGCGACCTCCCAAATGGGGCGCTTGGGCCTGGGCAGCATAGCCTATGTTTGAGTGGGATTCTCTGCTTGATCCAGGATGGCCAAATTACTTCCGACCTGATTGATGAGCCGGAAGCCCTAGAGCAGAGGCTCTCTACCCGGGGTGGGCGGCATCCAGATGACACCATTCAAGCACAAGCGGTCCAGCATGTTCAAGCCGATGGCCCAGTGTGGTCCATTGGTTGCTTGTGACTAAGGACTTACTGCTTGTCAGATGTCATGCCTGGCTGCAAGATCCACTTGAGCTGCAAGACGGCGGAGGCAAGCGTTGATGTTAGAAGCCTTCCTAGTGTTGCGTATGGTCCGAACCCCAAACCGCATGAGGGACACCTTTTACCAGAACCGCAAAGACAGAGCATGCGGCCGTGATGGTTTGTTGTTCCAGGATTTGCCAAACCTTGGAGTTTTCGGGTCAAAGGTTTTGCGAGTGGGTCCCTTTTTGACGAAGACAAATACATGACGGTTCTCCCCCGGAGTCCGAGCCGCGCTCGATCAGGAGAAGTACAAGACGGAAAGTGCGGGGGAGGCCTGGATGCCGGGCAGTTTGTCTTGGGTTTCCAGAGCACAAGAACGCAAAAGGGAGTCACTCCCTTTGGTCAGTGTGTGTGTGTGTGTGTAAATCAAATAGTTGGAAAGTGCGAAAACGAGGGCCAACACATAAAATGCACAACAATGTTTGTGACTTGACTTGCACAGGCAGCACCAGATATAATATGCACTGGAGAGGCAGAAGACACTGTCTCCATCATGGTTGCCTGTCCCGAGCAGTGGTCTTGCTTGCAGGTGTTTCCGTACATCTACGAAGAGCCTCTGGGAACCTTCCATGACTTGGAAGCAGGCGAGACATACTACGCAGCTTGGCCGAGATTGAGCGGCAGACTTGTCGACAGCACAGCGGCAGTGTTTGGGGTGGTGAACCATGGGCTGTCAACCAGCAACGTAACATGACTGCCAATTGGCCGGCACGCAGAGCGAGTGCGATGTTTGGCTAGGTCTTCGTCGAAGAGGACGAGCACCGTGGCTGCACACCCTGCACCACCGTTTTTGCTGATTCAGTGGAGCGACATGCCTCCCGTTTGGAAGCGGTATTTGCTGTGTGCAACCCTTTCTGTGGACAACATACAGGAGCACGAAGATTTGTCGTTTTCGGCACCGGTGAAGCCGCTTATTGGTGTAGTCTCACTTTCATTGCGACAGCGCATGTGCCCAGGGTTTTACAAAGGCCAGGCTCCCCTTTCCAGCTTCAGCAGGGAGAAGGCCAAGAAAGCAGAACCACTCCGCTCACAATGGCCGAGAGACATCCAATCTCATTGTTTGCCAGAGGGTGATCGATTTTGGGCCATGCACCACTCCAAGCCGAGCCCGTCCAGGCGGATGCGGAAGGGCCCAAGACAATGTTGATGCTAAGAAAAATGGATTTGATCCAAAGCAAGGCTGGAGACCTGGGCCTGGAAGCTCACAGGCCTAAGCAAGCGTGTTCCTTCCCAGAGTTCAGGGCACCAATTCTGAAGCTCCGTCAGAGCTTCCCGGGATCGCATGATCGAGAGGTCTGAGAGGTCCATGGAAAATGCCCTTGAGCCTTTGGCTCAAACGTCGCTGAGCCCAAACTGGCTCTCGGCGAGAATTCCAAATGTTCAACGTTCCATTTCAGGAACTCTGAACGAGGAACGGGGGCACCCATGCAAGTCAAGTCTTCGGTTTTTTTTCGGGCCACCAAAAGGGCTGGCACTCTGACTGTTTGACTAGGAGTTTCCTCCATCCGAGGACGGAGTTCCTGAAGTCCCAGGAGAAGGCGAAGCAGAACTTCGCGGGGGTGCGGTCCGCTGCCCTGCGCGGCGAGGGCTGCAGCTGTCTGGAAGGCCGGCCAAGGGCCGGGTTCGGCAGCGGCCCAAGTGGCTCCAACGACTGTCATATGGGTGTGGGGTCAAAATTAAACCATGACATGTTTGGGCCAAAGTCCGTCCTTGGAAAGTCCCATGGAAGATGGAGCATCGTGTTTCTTCTGTCCATGTGAAGCACGTGAATCTGCCTTGCCCTGCAAGTGCAAGTGAGAGGAAACATTTTGCTTTTAGGAGGCTAATCTCAATTGGCATCCATCCCACTCCGCAATTTCCAACAAAATATATTGGTGCTTTCTTCTACATTTGTTTGCGATGATGCACAAATGGCGAAATTTTGCACTGCTTGCCAGGCAATCCATGTGCTCAAGAATGTGACTCGCAGGGTAACTCGATTTGCCCGAGTCTCAGAAAGTCAAGGTTCACGATATGGTGCGGGCTGAACCACCTTCGAGATATCCTTCGGAGCGCCTCCCCCGAATATTGTGGTACCAACAAACAATGTCCAGCCGTCGGCCGTGAGAAATCGATTCCCTCCCTCCAGACCGGTTGGCTGTGCCGTGGTCCAGTTTGCCTCCTTTCCAAACTCAGGCAAGCCCCTCATCGAGGTGTCATGGCTGACATTTCCCAAGGCCTGGACTGGGCGAACCGCTTTGCCGTGGCGAAGGCGAACGGCTGGCTGGGCTACCAGGCCAAGTAGCCCAGGGAGCGCAGCTTGGTTTGGTCATGCGCAAAGGCTTTCAGCGCCGAGAAGGCGACACGCATCAGCCGCAATTGCAGAATCGTATGTTCAGCACAACCATGGTTCTCACTTATGTGGCAAGTCGGTGAAGAATTGCGTTGTCTCCCGCCTTTTCGGGCTCCTGCTCAATTTTCGTGTCACCCCTCATGCCTGGCTCCTAGCGCCGAGCGCTTGAGCTCGAAGCCTCGGGGAGCGTCCTGCTGGCGCCGTTTGAAGATAATGTCTGCGGCCGAAGCCGAAGCTGAAGCCCCGTTTTGGGCAGTGGCATGGATTTCAGAAAGGGCGTGAGCGGACGACAGTTTTCTTCTTGTGGTGTGTGTGTGTGTGTGCGCGTGTGTCTGTGTTTCGTGGATGCCTCAACAGTAGGTCCCCGAAGGCTTGGCATTATGTTTTCTGTGCGTGGGAGACCCTTCGAGTCGCAGGCCAAGGCGGCTTACGCATCAGCTCGCTGTCCGCAGACCTTCATGCTGTGGCTGAGACTCAGGCTGGTTGGACGCAGTCGGTGAGTTTTTCTTTATTTCTTCTCAGAGATGTTTCGTAGGTTGAGGGACCTGCAAAATACCAAGGTATAGACATGTTTTGAGCATACCAGTGAGGAACTGAGCAAACCCTCAAACTGGAGATTCCAAGCGCCAGCTTTGAGCGCAACGAGACTCCCAGCTGTTGGTCACTCCCCTTCAGGAGCAGCATCCGTTGTTCGAGATTTGACTTGGTGTTGACGATAGAAGTCACTTATGAGCAGGCAAGAAGCGCATGCATCGTTCCTACACCCACCCCAACCCTGAAACGACCTGCTGGGCCACAACAGCCTACAACGGTTCATTCGAATTCTCTTTCTTTTGACACCCCGGATAGTCTTCGAGCCCAAAAAGCCTAGACCATGAACAGAACAACAGATGCAGACATCGGAAAGAGCAGGCCCCCACATCGACAAAATTATGTTTGCATGCAGGCAAAGCAAGCAAGCTCACGAAAGGATGGCTCACACGCCGCGTGTGTTCCAGGCACAAGAGCTGTGCGCCCAGTTGGGCCCCGCGGGCGCGCAGTCCGGCGCCGCAGCCGCTTGGGGCGCGGCGCGCTTGCGCCTCGCCTTCGGCGTGGTGTGGGAGCGGCAGCAGGCGGCCCGGCCCCGCGCGGTGCGCTGGGGGCCGTTGGTCAGAAGTGGCTGTGGGTCAAAAATGGGTACCGAAAATGGAACCCTGGTAAATGGAGACAAAGACTAGAACCGCGTAACGCTAGCTCGTTAATTTTGAGCCACACCCAAGTGAGTCGTCCGTTCTGCCCGTTCCAACCCAAAGCAGCAGAGCACGGCTGATGTTTTGGGGCTGGTCGCTTTTGGCGAGAAAGAAAATCCAGAAAACAGCACGACCACCCCTCCAGTTGCTGAAAGATACTTCGAAGTGAGCTTACTGTAAGTTGCAGGGCTTCCACTTCAACAACGCCAAGCAAAGCATAGGCTCTAGATAGAGAGCATCATGTTCACGGCAGAGCCAAATAATTTTGTGGGTCCTAGGGTTTTTTGAGTGAGACCTATTGCCGCATCGGTTTGATCTTGCTCCTGGGTCCTAGGCAAAGTATGAGGCAAGTTCGTGCCAAGAGTTGTTCTTTCAGGGCTGGTCGATGAGTCGGCTGGTTGGCTGGTTTGGCTGGGTGGTTGGTCGATTGAAGGGGGTCATCCCGAGCCATGTGGGCGGCTTGTTCGTGGTTGCAGTTTTCGATGGGCGGAGTCTCTTAGCTTCCCGCAGGGCAGAAGAAGCAATGCTCATGCAGCTGACTCCATTGGCATTGGACGCAAGCACTTTCGGGGCCACAGTCATTGCCTGTTGCTTTCGTGCTCAATTGACTGCGAACGTAACATTTGATGCCGTGGTGGTGGAGTTGAGTGCTCTGCGATTGACAGCAAACACTCGGCGCCATGATCATGAAGGCGACCGAGTGCTCATCCTTGTTTGGAATGTGCTGGCTTTCCCTTTCCCTTCCTTTCAATAACCAGCAAATGAGAATCAACGCATGCCCCCGATTGGCGTATGTCGTCCCGCAAAAAGCACAGCAGCCAGGCGCTGCTGCTTCTTGCGCTGCGCAGGGCTCAGGAGCTTGGCCCGGCGAAAGGGCAGAACATGTTTGGCGGATGTGCCAAGGGCGGATGTCGGTTTGCTGCTGCTGCTGCTGCTGCTGCTGTTGTGCCCATCCGGTTGGCACGTTTCGTTTTTTGTTGGCTGTTTGAGCTGCTTTTTGCTTCTCAGGAGCAGGACCTCGCCGCCTGCTTCGGGGAGCTCAGGCGCCTGCGGCGCCTCAGCGCTGCCTCCGCGAGGCTTGCGGAGCATCAGGTCATCGAGTTGGACCGGGAGCAAGCTGTGGAGTTGCCCGCCATTTTGGCGCTCCCTGATCTGCATTTTTTCTGACATGTAGCAGGGTCTTAGGTATCCCGACTTTTGGGGCGGCCATGTACCGGAGAGGTTCCGGCCAGCTTTCGTTGGAAGTTCCAGAGGAGGGAAAGTTCCGGTCTGTGATGCTGAGGATACTTCTTGGGCGTATTTGTGGGGGAGGGGGCCGGGTTGGTGCATGATTGTGGGCCAAGGCCGACAAAGTTCAAGTTGTATTTTTCCAGCAATCAATTTCAGCAGGTCAGTTTGGTTTTGACCAGTTTTTGGGAACACCCAAGCTTTCTGAGAAGAAGCATGATACAATCCGGCTATAAGAGGGTTCCGCTTTGAACACGATGAGCATCATCGCTATCGTTTGAATGAGCATTTGGGTCTCAAGCATGTTGTTTTTATATAGGCGCTCTCACTAGCGCATGCCATGCACGGCAGTTTCAAATGAAGGTCAGGGTCCGTTGGCTGGTAGCACACGATAGACACATCTCTCTCTCCCCCTTCCCTTTTTACAAGCCTTACTTGACGTGATTGGTCAACTGGGATGGTCCTCAACGCTTTGACGAGGGACTTGCGTTCATGATCTTTGTCAAGGCAACTTAACCATCGCCATCCCCCCACATGGCAGAGCAGCTTCGGCGCATGTAAGACGCATTTGGCCCTGCAGGCGCCTGAACCGCGAGTTGGCCTACACTCACTCGCGCAAAGCAGCGGTTGAGAGAGGTCGGGTGGGAGATCGCTCAAGAAGTGGCAATGCTGCATGCTGGATGCATATAATGAGCTGCCAGGCTTGTGCCACTTGATGGGCAGGGTCTTTTTTTTTTTTCTTTCGAGGGCCCCGTCTCGCGGGCGCAGGCCGTGGAAGCGACGGCTTTGGGCCGCTGGGGGCAAAGGTGTCGCTGAGCCTGGCGCTAGCGACCTTCTCCCAGGCCATGCGCAAGCGCCAGGAGGCCGAATGGGCTGCGCTTCGGAGAGACTTGGGCCTTCCATGTCCCGTGCTCACAAAGCAAGCTGCTTGAGTGGGCCTGGCGGTGGAGGACTTGAGAATTGATCTATTCCACGGGAGCCACTCTAGAATGGATTTGAAGAATGTTGAGCAGGGGGTCGTTGCATAAACAACACAAGTACGCCCCTTTGGGCCATTTCGGCGGGGCCCATTTTCAATCCTGATGCTTGTGATGCCAGACGGTGATGGTGGTGTTGCTCAGCGGTGCAGATGTTGGCCCCCTTTTCATGTTTGGCCAGCAATGATTGCTTTCGCCCCAACACAAGGGCAAGAAAAAAGAAATCACTCACCTTGTTTCCAGGAACAGCAGTTACTATCTGATTTACGGCTTTCCCAGCAACATGGCATGGGGTTGGGGGAAAAAAAACAGCATATCATAGTATCACACCCCATCCCACCCCCGTGTTTGTCCCAACCCATGCTCCAGCCTTATTGTTGAAGGTTTTCACGATTAAGCGTGTGCGTTGACCTAGCAGTATGGCCAAGCAAAATAGTTGTGTGGACATCCAACATGCGGCCTTTTTGTGCTTGGAAGCGACCAGGCCTGACTTGAGTTTCATTCTTGTTAGGTCGATCGTCAGCAGTTCAGTTCAGGTTTTCCCTGTCTGGGGATGGAGACCGACATTTTCCGGCGGCAGGTCCTGCACTCGCCAGAAGCCTACCATGGATGGCTGCAGGCGGGGGCAGACGACTCCGCACCGCCTGGCCGCGTGCGGTGAACCAATCGCTGTTGTACTACCGCGTTTGTCGGATGCGCATTGAGATGGATCGGCTGGTGTTTGGCAGTTGTCTGTGGCCAGGACTTGATCGGCAGATTGGAGGCACACTTGGACGAGTTGCAGCCGCCAAGGACTTGGAGAGGCTGTTCCGATCTTGGCTCAGTCTTGCAGAGATGGCTTCGTTACGCCTCTGCGGGAGTTGCAACCACCAAACCTCAACTCTTTGCAACTCTCCAGCCACACCAGTTTTCTCGAAATGTGGCATGCTCTAGACCTGCCGGTCAGCAAGAGCCTGCAACCCAGCCACCTTGCATGCTTCTAACTTGTGCCCTGTTGCTATCCACAAGCTGCAGGTGTGCATTCGCACGGCACAGGGCGATTGTGTTCAGTCAGATACAGGTAGATGAGGCAAAGCAAGCTTGATGTGGTTTGAGTCAAGGGTAGAGCGCGCTTGGCTTTCGGGGTCACGTGCATGTCATGAACCCCAACTCGTTTGAATCGGGGCTGCATTTTTCCCTCAGGCCTGCGAACTCGGTGGCGGAGCCAGGGCCACGCGGCCTCTCCGGCGGGTTGCCTGTTTGTGTCGTTTGTTTGCCCTGACTGCCTGGCTTGGCTGGCCTGCCTGACCTGCCTGCCTGCTTGCCTGCCTGCCTGCCCTGCCTGCCTTGTGTTGGCATGATTCTTTATTCCCCAACAGCTGAAAGCTTTGGGGTCTTAGCCCAGATAGGCTCCGGGGTGGGCCGGGGCGGCCCTGAGGTAAGGTTCCACGAAGGGTTCCACGAGGGTTCCACCAGGGTTCCACCAGAGTTCCACCAGAGTCTCACCAGGGTTCCACCAGGGTTCCACCAGGGTTCCACCAAGGTTTTATGAGGGTTTTGCAAGGGCTGTGAGGTGGTGCGAGCACTAAAAAGAGCACCGCATGCTGTTGGGAATATCACCAGAGCTTCTTTTTTATTATTTGTTTTGACTCTGTGATACCTTTTCAACTATCGCCCCTCACTGCCAGGCCGGGTTAAGGTGGTCCCCTGCTTTTTGTTTTTGGGTTCTGTTGGCTGCGGCATGCCAGGCGACGCTGAGCCCATTGCCGCACCTGTGCCAATGGGGCTCTCACAGGAGAAGCATTCACGGAATGCGGGGGGCATGGAACAGCCATCCTTTGCTTGCTTTCAGAAGCAAGCCCAAAGCAAGAAGCTCCCACTGTACCAGTACCTTCCATTCGACATCGTTGCCAGGGATCTCCAGGGTACCCATCAGCTGTCTCACTTGGTCCATCGAAGTCCTCCGGAGCCGAAGCGGAAGCTGATCTCTCGCAGGACCGGCTGCTGGAGGCCGCTGGCTTTACGGCCGCCCAGCCGCAAGGGGCGTCGGGGCATGAGAATGCTGGCCAGGGGGCGCTGGCTGGGCCTGTGCTCCCCAGGCTGCCTTGCAGAAGACACGTGTCCGGCAGAAGAGTACAAACAACACACTTGCTTCCATTGCCGTTTGTTGTTTCAATCCAATCAAACCAATCAAACAAACCAATCAAACCAACAATCAAACAAGCTTTTGACATCCATTTGTTTCATAGGGATCCGTCGATGTGAGACGCTTCCTCGCCCAGGTGGTGCACGAGGCCGGCGGCGCCAAGCAGGCGGATTTGTCCGCGCCGGCCCGTCTCACGCAGGCCGGGCCATTGCATGCGGCGTAGGCTGGTGACTGGTGCCTGTGTGCGGTTCGCGGTTCGGGTTGCGGTGTGTTTGGCGTTGGGGGCAGATTTTCGGATCAAGGGTTCGGGGAGAAGCGCTTTGACAGGGCCTGATTGACAGCCACAAAGGTGAATGCAATGCACTGCAGGGAGGGACACGCCTACGCGTCAACAGCCGGCTGGCACAGCCATCCATTTGTCTGTTTCTATGGTACCACAACAAGCAACAAGTCGCAGGGTCGAAGGGCGCCCGCTGCTTTGTTTCACAGGAGGAAGAGCTCCAGCTGCGAAGGGACAGCCGCCAGGAGAATGGGGGCGGTTCCTGATTGAATGGGTGCTGGGTTCCCTTTGTCTTCGTGGTCGGTTTGCTTTTGGTGTCCTTTTCACACATCCACCCAACATGTGTTGAACTTGTGACACATGCTGAGAAATATCCTGATTCCGCCATTGCCGTGTGTCAGTGTGTTGCCAAAGTTCAAAATGCTTCCTTTGCATGGTTGAAAGGAAGCCCACAAGAGCACCAGCCCGTTTCGTTCCTATCTGCTTCGAGCAGCCAGGCTTGGCGATCCTGTGTGGACGAGCTGCAGGGAAAGCTGGCGACTCGATCAGGCAAGTCCGACAAGACTTGCAACATCACGGCTTTGACCTGGATCCCCTTCTGAATGTCTTGGCTGTTGACTTCAGCCTTCCGGGCTCCCAAATCAACCTTTCTGGGCTGTCTGAGTGGCAAGCGAGCCAAAGCAATACATTGTCAATGAGGCACACCATGCCAAAATCACGAGGAAAAGGGACGGGACACTTCTTCAATGACTCAATGCCTGCCTGGGTTTCATTTCGAGTTGACGTATCTGTGTGGTGTGAGGTTATGGTCCACTTTGCTGTTTCTCATTCGCTGGCTTTGAATATTTTCCTGCTGAGATTCATCTCCTGACCCACCGGCAAGCTTCTTTACAGGAGCTGCGCGGCTTTGGCAGCAGCGCCAGGATTGCGCCACGCGTGTTGCAAGGACCTCTCAGCATCAGATGGAGTCAGAAGACGTGGCTGATGGTGCATGTGCATCGTGCGTGCGCGTGCGTGCGTCACAACATGGACTCCGACCCCTTTTTTTCGTGGGCTTGTGTGAATGATGACATGCCAAGGCAAGCCTTTGATACTGGAAAGCAACCGTGCCTTTGTTTTCGTAAGCTGAACACCCTGCACAGAATGGCCTCCCACTTGGGAATCACCCAAGTCGCTGCCCTGTTTTGAGGCTATTGGAATTGTGGAAATTGTCTCTCCTCAGACTCTCCGGACACATGTTTGACCAGCTTGCAGCCAGTTTCGTAGATGGTGTCCTCCCCAAATTCCACCAAGGGTTCCTGAATTCCAGCAACCTCTTCTTGGGTGGGGGGTGTTTGAGACTGAAGCCGCGCGAAGTTGCTTCTCAGGAGCGGGTGCGACTCCTCGCCCCTCTCCGCCGAACTGGCGGCAGAAGAGCTGCAGGCCGTCCCTTCCTAGGTTCGATGCATCAGCTTTTGGGTGGGCTGAGCAACAGTCAACAGTTACTCTGTCCACTTTCAGAGCTGGTGGGAGCACCGGTGAAAAGCTTCAAGGTACTAAATCATGGCAGGTCGTACTTCCCGGAAAACACGCACCTCTTATATGCCTCTTGTGTGGTTCTCTCTACTTTGGGACATGGACAGGGACACTCTGGTTCTATAAACTTCCTGTGGGGTGAACTGTCAAAAAGGCTTCCAATTGTGCGCAACCACAGAGGAGGCAGACCCGAATATTTTGACGTATCTCATGTATACACAAGAATATACACATGTTGTTCAGCACAAGGACGAATCCAATCGGAGATGCGGTGTACAGCCCTGGCAGGAAAAGCGCATTGCTGAATTTTGTTTTGCTGCTCATATTGTCCGCGAGGCCTGGGGCGACTTGCCGCCTGCTGAGGAAGGCCGGTGTTGAGATTGCAACTTGTGCTCTTAGAACGAGGGATGCATTCACTCCTCCTCCTCCTCCTCCTCCTCCTCCTCCTCCTCCTCCTCCTCCCTGCGTGGACTTGGGCTGGGAGTCATGAAGCCGCCAATTTTTCATCGAGCCTATGAGTGATCCCCTTTTGGAAGATTCCTCGATCCTCATGTCGTGGAGATGGGCAAGCTCCTTCAGGTGCAAAGCAGAACGAAGCCTTTTCCCTACTGGGCATGTATCAATACACGAACCCCATTCCAGTGGTTTGTTTCCCTTCGCTATTTTCAAGCGGGTGAGTTTGCTTCCAAATTTGGAGTCAAAAGACGGAACAACTCCAAAGTTACCCACTCTCTCTCTCTCTCTCTCTCTCTCTCTCTCTCTCTCTCTCCCTCCCTCCCTCCCTCCCCCTCCCTCCCTCCCCTCCCCTCCCCTCCCCTCCCCTCCCCTCCCCCTCCCCTCCCCTCCCTCCTCCCCTCCCTCCCCTCCCTCCCCTCCCTCCTCCTCCCTCCTCCCCCTCCCTCCCTCCCTCCCTCCTCCTCCCCTCCTCCCTCCCTCCCCTCCCTCCCCTCCCCTCCCTCCCTCGTTGCTGTCTCCTTGCTGCTGGTTGAAGGCTATGCCCGCTAGCTGCCTGGAACAGTAAATTCTCATGAGCATCCATTTTTTTTTACCAACTCACCAACTCACCTCAACTTAATTCAACTTAGCTCAACTCAACTCAACTCACTTCCCAACTCGCCATCTCGCTTGGGAATTCTGAAGTCACCGAGTCACCCACTCACCAAGCGGACGCCAACGCAGCCAAGCCGCCAGGCGTGGCGCGGGCGCGCCGCTGGCGGCCCTCGCAGGCTCAGCAGGAGCTCATGCAGGCGGAGCCGCAAGGAAGAGCTTCCGAAACGAGGAAAACCCACACATGTATATGAAGAATATATATTTATATTTTGATTTATATGCAAATGTATATATATATATTGCTGTATCTTTGTCGATATATGTATATATATATATATATATACATACCACCCCTCGCGGACCTAGGGTCTGGTGCCTTTCTGTGACAATGGTCTGTACGGATGAAGGGTATTTGGACAGGCTTCGAAGGTAAATTCCACCCCGGTCGTAAAAGAACTTACGTCCTTTGTTAACTCCATGCAAATCACTTGGCAGCTCAAGCTCAAAAATGCAACTTTTCAGCACTAGAATAGTACCCAAAGCAGACTTTGGCAGCTTCAACGTGATTGCAACAGCTCTGTCAGGTTTTGCACTTTGTTCATCAATTGGGGGAAAGGAGCTCATCCCTCTTTGAAATGCAATGCTTATCAGCACTATGTGGTGCTTAGTTGATTCGATTTAGTCATTGTCGAGAACATTGAGGATTAAACATAGGAAGAACATCCAGTTTATCATGCTGTTTCGAGTTCACGCCAAAGTCAACTTAAACCGGTTGCAGTTCCTTGTGCATCTGCGAATAACCAACAATCAGGGAAACCAACTATTGACATTGCCAGTTGCAACTGGAATCAACTTCAATTTCAACAGGGTCATTTTCTTTGTCTAATTCCTTTTTTTTTTTAGTGGAGGACCCCAACACAGCCCCAGCACCCTGAATTAGGAGATATACTTTACAACGAAAGAGGCCCCTATTCTTAACAGGTTCCAACATTAGTCCTTGATTTTCATAAGCACCTTGAATATCTAGCAGTCAGGTTGTTTACCACGAAAATGCATTTATGCTGGTAAGTGAGCATCCTTTTTGGATTCTTTAAATCCATACTTGGACACCGGGAGATTTGGGACTGAATTAGTTTCGCTCTTTTTATATTTTAAAGGAACACTTCTCAACATGCAAGATTCAAGGCGCCCAAAAGAAACTTTCTCAGATTCTTGAATCTTGACTAGCTTTTTCCAAATGAATCATCCTAAAAGATCTAGTGTGCCTGAATATTCCTGAGATGAATGCAGACATCTGGCAAATTTCAAATGGTGGCATCATTGCTTACATTGCTTGTGTATGTATATATATATATTAATATATATATATATATATATATGTATAGATGCCCCCCCCACTCTGCCACAAAAGCAACAAGGCAAAAACATAAAGCACTGGGAAAAAGGAAAGCCAAGCCCCAAAAACCTATTGCCAGAAGGGGGGTACCACACATATATATATATATATGTATAAATGTATTCGTGTAGCCTGTGCAAGGCGGAAAGGCTCGCAGCGCAAGGGTGTGCTTGCGGTTCAGTAGGTGCCTTCATTCTTGCGAACAGTTTACAGGCTTTGCGTATGAACGTGCCCACCCACACAATTCGGTTGTATATAGATATGTAGTCAATCCCTCAATGAATGCTTCCAAGGCATGGTCCCGTTTTGTTTTGAATGATGGCTTGCGAAAGGATTGCTTCGGACTTATCTCTTGCGCCCCTTCGCCTGAATTCCTGCACGGCGCCCGTGGTTCGACCCAGCACCTCCCATGGCTCTCCACAGCTCATTCTGCCAATGTGGTGACTCAAAGTGTGCCGTGCGGGCAGATTCCTTTCAGGGTTCATCTGGGAGCTGTGCCAAGCCTGTCCCAAAATGCGCCTGGCTGGAGGCTCTGAGCCTCCGCCTGGGCCCGGAGCCCCAAGAATCTGCACCGAAACGATGACCGGCTGGTGTGGTTGGTCCAGACTCTTGGGCTGTTGGACGCTCGGGCTTCAGGACCGCTTGCTTCAACTCATTTTTGGGTGAAAGCATCCAGGGGGCACCCATCAAAGGGGGCGGACAGCTGAAAAAAGGGGGCGGCTTTTGATGAGGACGAGCTTCCACAATGGCAACGTAGCAATCCAAGTACTATATATTTTTCCGTAAACTTAAGATAGCTTGGCTCGCTGAAATGACCAGCTAGCACGTTCATGTCATGAGCTGCATGTTTTGCTTCTTGTTTCCGTTCATTGTTGGGATCAGCTGCCAGGCGTTTTCCGTTGAACCCTGGTTGTTGTCCCAAACAACAGTGAGTGTCAGCCACCTCCGGGCTTTTGTGATTGGAGCCTTGCTGAAGGACAGGCTAATGGCAGGAACAACTCTCTTTTTGCTGCCAAATGGCGGGATGTCCCCTGCTGACATTCTAGCTGGCCAATCACCGTGTCAACCAGAACAACTCCACACCATGCCTAGACATCCCTAAAATAAGCATCGAATCAATCCTCAAGCAACACTAAACCAATGTTGACCCGAAGCCACACCGACCGTAAGCTCTGATATCCTAGGCTGACCTAGCGTTCACCCCAACAACCAAACACAACAGCGACTGCTTTCTTCTCCAGGGCTTCTTCCAAGCTGCGCACCAGAAACCTCTGAGGCTCCAGGAGTGAAGCCGATTTCCCCGTTGCTTTAAGACAACTTTGTTAGAGGAAAGCAAGCAGCAGCGACAAGCATTTATAGCAGGGCAGAAGAACACAGAAATTGTTGATCCGATCATGCCAAGAACTCTTGCTTGGGCCGTTTGAATGTGCGGCAGTTTCAACTACCCACGCAATGGTAGACGTGCATCGCTGACCGGGATGCCCCCCCCCCCCACCCGGAGAAGCCACTGTCTGAGGCGGCGAGCGCCCAGAGGACGTGGTGCTGGAAGGGTGAGGCAAAAGCGGCCCGCTTTGAATCCAGAGGGCTTCGAGGTGGTTTTGGGTACGTTCTCTTGAATGATTCAGCTCGGAGACTGGCCGCACCCTTCAGATGTAGCTGCTCCAGAAACAAATGGCAGATCGCTAGATCGCTGGGGAACACGACATAGGTCGGTCTTGCTGGAGCTTTGGGCGATTTTTTGTTTCCACAGTCTGGCTCAAAGATGGAGCTCCGCTGATGGATCGGCGGAGCGCAGGCTCATGAACACCAGCCCCAGGCGTGGTGAATCTGAACGGATGCAGCGTGCAATATGCCCAGCGTTCCTTGGATTAAAGCCAAGGAACATGCGAGAGGCATGCCACTTTTTTGTGTCTTTTCTGAAAGGGGGAGAGTTCATAAACATCGTACATGAGCAATTTCTATCTATGTGCCCAGTTCAAGCCACAAGCAGCTGCTCCTTACCGTTGAGCTGTCTCGAGGAGCAAACCAGTCACAGGGTCCCATTGGGCAATCTAGTCTCCTCTGCGCGAGATTCTATGTCAGGCTTCCCGAGCCTCAACCATAATGCACCCAAGTCAACCAGAAGATCAAACAAGGGTGGCAGGACTAAGATTGTCACTCTGTTATATATCCTAATCCCTGCAAACCTACCCAAGTTGCAGGCTTGACTGTCTTGGGATTCAAAGTGGTCCCCTGGCTCACAGAAAGCGTTCACTTGGAAGAAGTTACAGCTTTGTGCGATGCACTGAGTGCAAATTTGCTGGCTGATGTGTTGCCCCATTTGGCAGCTACGAGGCAAGTCTATGGGCCATTGAGCTAGCACAGGTTGGGTGAAATGGGCTTGAAAATACGTTGCACGGAAGGGCGGGTGGTTTTAGCATGCCCAAGACACATCTGGGCCGAAGCTCCAGGGACATGGCTCCGGCGACGCCCCTGGAGGTGCGCCTCGAGTGCTTTGGGGATTCGTGGAGTTGTAATTGAAGCTGTCAGCATTCTGTCGGCTTGTGAGAAGCTTCGTTTTGGAAAAGACACATGTGGTCTGGAAGGGAAGAAGGGCAGAGGAGTGGTGCTGTCAGAGCTGTCAGGTTCACAGTTTCCAGTTCACGCTGACGCATTTTCGCTCCATACAGCTGTAGTGTCCGACACAGGCGGTTACCTGGCTTTCTGTGGGATTTTTCCAGCACGCTCACTAGTGCCCGAACGAAGAGGGTCGGCCTGATCAGCCAGATATACCTGTCGTGCATGCGTCATTAGCGCAGCCGTACTAAGCCAGCCACCTGGGGTACTGTCACCACTTTCTCCTTTCGGGGAGCGAGCAAGCGAGAACGTGTGTGGATAATAGTGGAGTCAATACATGTCTTGCTCACTGCGGCAGAAGTCCAACCACTGCCAAGTGCCTCCGAGAACTAACTAAGCAGCCGCAAGAAAGAAGTTGTTTGCTTTTGTTTTGGAAGGAACAGATTGTCATCGCGCGGTGTCACAAGGCTGCGAGCTCCCGACTCGCTGACCATTTTCTGGGCAGGTGATTCAGAGCGTCTTCATGCGGGGGAAGCGGCCCATGGCCGAGAGCCCGGTGCGAGGCGTCCGAGTTGAGAGAAACTTGAACACGGAATTGCTCGCACCCCAAGAGAAACTTGGCCACACTTGCCGAGTTGAAAGAAACTTGGCCCAACTTCTCTAATTCTAAGAGATGTGAAAACATTCATTTCTATTGGAATGGCACGTTTGGGCCGCCCAACCTTCGCGCCCAAAAGGGAATACGGCTACCCGCTGCTTAGGCAAACTGAGCGTGGCCCACGTTCCAGCGTTAGGCTTGTTGCCGACGCTTGCGCCGTGCGCGTCACGTTGCCTCAGGCTACTCCCAAGTCGCTCCGCTGGCCGGGCACGGAGGTGGGGCTTTAGTGTGTAGGCCCCCGACATTTCTGTTTGCTTGACTGCTTGGAAGCTCGTACGTTGCATGTACTTCGCTGGCTGTGGTCCATAAGCTTTGTTTGAACAGAAGGGCAAGATCGCTGAAAGAGTGGCTTGGACACCAATCGTAGCTATCAAAGTATGTGTGGTTGAAGGCGTGAAGTAGTTGCTAGATTTGACAAAGCAGCAGCGCCGCATCACAGCTGTAGCTTGAGCGCTTGGAACAAACATAAACAAAAACCTACATATATATCATCAACATATTTTTGGAGCGCTGGAACAAATTGAGCTAGTCTCTAGGAAAGCGTGCGTGCCTGACAGGGGTAAGCTCGGAGCGGGCTCAGAGTGGTCAGAGCCGGCGCGCGTTGGCTGCTTCATGACCTTCCAAAAGTGCACCCCTTGTGCACTTTGCCGGGTCGGCCGTCCCAAACTGGTGGTTCTTTACGATCTTCACTTCGCTCACGCAACCCTCTGTGCGCTTGGTCGCCTGAAACAGCTCCCCCCTTTTTTTTCTTCTTCTTGTCCTGCGCAACCTTCAAAAAGGTGAAACCCTTGCGGACTCTCAGCGGTTTTTGTGTTTGTCGTTTCGCTTGCGGTTTGGGGAGTTAGCCTCGAACACTTGGAGACAGAGATGGAAAAAAGAAAGAGAAGGCGAAAAGAAACAGAGGAAGAGACAAGAGAAGATAAAGAGGAAGAGCAGAGAAGGATAAAGAAAAAGCCAGGAGAAGGAGAAGGACAAGGCGAAGGAGAAGGACAAGGCGAAGCAGAAAGAGAAAAAAGATAAAATTGGAGATAGATAAAAATAGATAGAGAGAGAGAGAGAGAGGGCGAAAGATAAAGAGAAAGATGCAGAGAAAGAGAAAGAGACAGAGAAAGAGACAGAGAAAGAGACAGAGAAAGAGACAGAGGACGAGGAGGAGAAGGAGACAGAGAAAGTAAAGGAGAAAGAGAAAGGTGAAGAGAAAAGGAAAGAGAAATAGAAAGAGAAAAGGACAGGTAAAAATGACGAGACAAAGAAGAAGAGGAAGAAGAAGAGGAAGAAGAAGAGGAAGAAGAAGAGGAAGAAGAAGAGGAAGAAGAAGAGGAAGAAGAAGAGAAGAGAAAGTGAAAGTGAAAGAGAAGGAACGATAATGAGAAAGAGGCAGAGAGAGAGATAGCGAGGGAGACAGAGAGAGAGAGAGAGAGAGAGAGAAAAAAAGAGACCGCGAGAGAGAGGGAGAGAAAGAGAGAAAAAAAGAGAAATATAATCAGAAAGAGAAAAACAAAGAGAGAGAGAGAGAGAGAGAGATAAAGAGAAAGAGAAAGAGAAAGGGAGAGACAGAGAGAGAGAGAGAGGGAAACAAGAAAACTTCCGTCCCGCGGCTGTGCCTGACTTCACTGGCATGACTGCATGACGGGCAACTGGTTCAAGTATTGCAACGCTATGCAGCTGCTTTGGTGGACACTCTCATCAAGTGAGAGCAGTATTTTGGCGGTTCCTGGTGTAGAATGAAGATTTGAGTGTTTCCTTGAGTTATGTCTCCCACTTTCGGGGGACATCTGAAGGAAGTAGGATTCACTTGGACATCATTTGCCTGGTCTTTTTATGCCCTTTCCAGGCCTTCCATAGGAGGGCTTTGGATTCCACCCCTCGTTGGGCGCGCGCCGCCCTTTGTCCGCACAGGCAGACAGCCCGGAGGATGCCCGGCTGGGGCGCTGGGGCTTTCTGAAAGCTTGGGGGGGGGAGATGTTGACAGTGCGTGTTGCGGATGGCCCCCGACAAACATGACAAGCAAGCAGGACCAGAGGCTTTATGCGCCTGTTTGCAGTCTCTCCAGACGTAGTCGACTGCCAGGAAGGTATTGGCTTTGTGTTGAAATAGGGGAGGCACAGCAACCACAGCTTTCCTTTAAAGCAACTCCAAAACGGGTACCGTTTAAACAGACACTCCCATTTGTCAGACCGTGGCTTTTTGCTGGGGCCAGCGGATGTCCCCTGCCGGAAGTGCGGGGTGGCATTCGCAGCACTGCAAAACCGGTTCCGAGGCCAAAGAGCAGCCACTGCCGCTCTTGGCCATCGCCAGGCTTGGCACATCCTTGTGGGCTTGTGTTTTGGAGGGTACCCTCGGGTTGGTTCGAAGGGAACCAAAGAGAAAACCATAATTTTGCGGCGGTCTCCCCATTTTAACTCAGACGCACGCACGCGCACATGTCGTCGCATGGCTGTGCAGCTAACGCTAGCCAATTGACCAATTGCGGGTTGCATCCAGAATCGGACCAGGTTTGGTTGGCTGCACTGGTAGCTTTCTCCGTGTGAGCAAAGGTGTCAAGTTGTTTTTTTTGGTGGTCGGCTTGCAATGCTGCAGGGTTTCATGGTTTTTCCTGGGGCAGAGCGGTCAGGCGGTCGCTCCGTGCGGTCCAAATCCTGTCGCTTAGTGCGGCGCAAATCCTGTCGCTTAGTGCGGCAGTCACTTGACCTTCACGGGCCCGTTGAGCCCGTGTGGCCCGTTGAGCCCGTCGGGCCTGTTCGGCTTGTTGGGCCCGTTGGGGCTGTTGGGACCGCTGGGCCCGTTGGGACCGTTGAGCCCGCTGTGCCCGTTGGGCTTGTTGGGCCTGCGTTGGGCTTGAGCCCGTTGGGCCCGTTGGGCCTGTTGAGCTTGTTAGGCCCGCTGGGCCCGTTCGGACCGCCGAGCCCCCTGCTCTGGCTCTTCGTCTTGGCTCGCTTTACTTTCTCTTTACAAGAACTTACATGTGTATAGACACGTGCCAAAAAGTGTGGTTTTACCTGCATCGCGGAAGTTCGCGGAAGGTTCACGGAAGGGCGAGGCGGAAGACCGTTTTTTGGAACAAGGAATGTGGGGTAAACTCTTATGTATATATGTTATGTTATGTTATGTTATGCTATTTTATGCTGTGCTATGTTATGTAATGTTAGGTTATGTTATGTTATTATGTGTGTAGTGTTGTGTATGTTTTGTTTTGCAATGTAATGTAATGTGATGTATGCGTGTATGTGTGTTATGTATGTTATGTATGCTATGTACGTATGTATGTATGTTATGCGTGTATGTATGTAATGCATGTAATGTGTGTGTATGTATGTGCCTGTATGTATGTATGTCTGTATGTCTGTATGTCTGTATGTCTGTATGTCTGTATGTATGTATGTATGTATGTTATGTGTGATTAGCCATGGTTCATATCATCATCAGGGACGTCGCGTTAGTGACCGACCTGTGGTTTTTTGGCTCAAGTTTTGGGTTCCGTCGCGCCTCGAATGGGCGTCGCCGAACCCCTGCGTCGACCGACGGCATCTCGGGGGAGAAAGAGACCTCGGGCCGCCGCCAGGTTGGTAGGGACCAGTCGTGCGGCCTGTTGTCGACCAAGGTTGCGGGTTAACCCTTTTCTTGTTTGGTTTGTTTTCCTTTGGTTGTTGTTCTCTGGTGTGTGGGAAACCCTGATCTTTGGGACCGGGGATTGGTTTGCTTTTGGGGAACCTTTCTTTTGTGGCTTGTTTACCCCAACTTACCCATTGCCTGGGCACAGGTTCGTGCCCGAATCACAGGTTATCAGCCGTAGGACTTTCCTACGCGCTTGAGACCATCAACTACAAGCTCTATGTCGACCCCACGATCTCGAAGGAGCGTCGTGGATGAGGAGGCCATCCTAGGTGGCCTCCGCTCAGGTGAGGACCTACCGGACTATGACTACGAGGATTTCGAAGCAGGTTCGACAGGTCAGGACCGCAGGGGTGAAGATCCCGGTAGGGATACACCCAGGGGCCGTGGCAGGTACGCCGACGATGGAGACGATCGTATTTTCCGCCAGGCCACTGATGACGAGCAGACACGAAGGGTTTACTCCGGTAGGAGTGGCTCTGAATCAGGTCACAGGCGTGGACATTTTGACTTCACCAGCATGGCGATGGACATGGCCCGCCCTCATTCGGATGACCCGGAGGCCATGCCGATTCGACCTCCGAGATCTCTTGTTCCAGGTGAGTCGCAGGTCTCGGATGAGTTTGAGAATAGGCCGCAGGGACCAGGGACTATGGTTCTGGCTCCGGGAGGTATCCCGTGACCCATTGGTTCTCAAAATCCAGGTCAGTTTGATGAGCACGAGGAGCGGAAATTCACGGACTTCGGATACGATGATCTGTTGAAATCAACCGCAGGTTGGGGCAGTAGCTCAAAGCAGGGATCTGACGCCGGTAGGCCCAACCCTAATACTGCCAAATCTGAGTCTTATGATGGCGAAGGTTACAATTTTGCGGATGAGGAGGAGAGCCATTCGCGCCGAAATGCAGGCAGCCGTGCGACTGCAAGGACTAGTCCCGCCGCGGCCAAGTTTGAGGTCGATGATGATGACGAGTATGCCGCATTTGCGGATCGCCGTGATGAGGAGGAGGACCAACCACGACGAAATGCTAGGATCCGTGATGCTGCGAGGCCCAGGAGCCTCTCTCGTGGAGCCGCCAGGGACCTTCGCGTTGACAGGGATGCCCGAAGCGAGAGAGAGAGAGCCAGGGACAGTCGGGAAGTTCTTCGGGGATTGGAGGCCATCCATGACCGTGAGGGACCGGTAGGTCCCCCGGCGATTGGTGATACCCCGAATGTTCCCCCTTTTCCCAACATTACGTTTGGAGGTCCGTTAAATCAGAGAGACGTGAACTCGAACCGGGTTACTGGTTCGCCGAGAGTCACTGAGCGGGTTGCCGATGTCGTTGGGAGAGGTGCAAGAGATGGCCGGCTTGCCGATGCACTCGGAATCGAGGATCGTCCGTCGATCGCTAGCCCGTTAGGGCGAGATACCAGTGACCTTGAAACGCTAAGGTCCAGCAACGAGTTCACACCTCAATGGGGCTCGACCGCCAGGGAACGTAGTGCTTCTGCGAAGAGACCGTCACCCCTGGCCATTGAGACCGATAGGTCGAAGGCGAGGAGGGCTAGCCCCTCACCAATGGACTCAACTCCGCAGGATGAGGAGATGCCTGATCCTGCTGATGTTCACATC